TGCCTGTCCAAAAAAAAAAAAAAAAAAAGTAAGTAATGAAATTCCTCTCTCCTCCTTTTTCTTTAGGGATTGTAAAATAATCAGTACTTTGTCCTCGCTGAAATGTATATAAATCCTTTAGAAAACCACAGTAGACCTTTTATCAACTTAATGGCCAAGGAAACTCTTTCTCAAAGACCTGTGAGCCAACTCTTTGAAGTACAGACATCAAGGGAGATGGGTCCTTATCTCCTGGCTTCTGTGGGAGTGGGGCAGGAGCCTAACTGTGGTGGGCAGCTGGTTCCCAGGTGCACAACTTCCTCCTATCCTGGAGACATGGGAAGCTTTTCCTCTGGATAAGGCCAATCAGCTAACAAGTGGTCACTTCAATGACAAGTTAAAATGAACTGCTTATGACAAACTGTGCTCTCAAGTTCAACTAGCACTGAGGCTGGTGCTGTGGCTCAGCAGGTAGAGCTGCTACCTACAGCCCTGGCATCCCATGTGGGCACCAGTTGAAGTCCCAGCTACTCCAATTTGGATCCAGCTCCCTGCTAATATGCTTGGGAACACAGCAGAATGTGAGGAGTCAAATGGGTAACAGGCAGTCAGGTGGTCCCCTGGTAGAAATTTGGAATAGCCAGGTGCCTGCTCCCCCTCAAAAAGGTTATCTTTAGCAGATCAAAGTGTCCTGCTTCCTTAGGAATCTCAAAATTTACAAATTTACCATGAAAATGATTTCTCCGCTGCCATTCTGGATTTCTTTTTTCATTTATCATAAGCAGCCAGACAGGATAGAAAATTGTAAATCGGGTTTTTTGTTGAGTTTATCCCAACCTTGTTGATTGAAAGTTTGGTCCCCAAGATTGTACTTTAAAACCCCAGTGCTATGGGGCTCATTGGATCTTCCTCTCTTGGAACCCCCCCTTTTTGTTGCTCTGGCAGGAGGTTTCCAACTTGAATAAATCTTACTGTACTTTCACTGCTGTGTCCTGTGATACTTCTTCTTTTGCACAAGACAAAGAACTGAGGCCTTCTCTCTGCCGCTGTTTTCCCATAACAAGAAGATGGCCCAAATACTTGGGCCCCAGCACCCACATGGGAGACCCAGAAGAAGCTGCTGGCCTGGCCCAGCACTGGCCTTTGCAACCATTTGGGGAGTGAACCAGCATATGAAGGATCTCTCTCTCTCTTTCTCTCTCTCTCTCTCTTCCTCTCCCTTTCTGTAACTCTGCCTTTCAAGTAAGAATAATTTATTAAAAAAAAAAAAAAAAGACTAGCTGTCATTTTGTTAGAGACCCCCTCCCACTTGCCATGAAGGAGCCAGTTTTGAAGTAGGCAGGCATACAGGTTAAAATTGATTAGGATTGCAAACTGGAAGACCACGCCTTCACCACGCCCCTGTGTGACCTCCTGCCCCTACCTGGCCACACCTGAGTACCCACCGGCCAATCAGGTTAATTAACCACTCCCCTTTGGGAGTGAGTTAAAAGCCTGGGACATGGTGTGTCTTCGCTCTCTTCTTTTTCCCGGCCTCTAGCCAGGAGGGGGTTGGCTGTAGCCCTGTGCCCCTAGGCCTTCAGGCCATGCACCCTAGGCTTCCTGGCCCAGATGCTCCTCCATGTGGCTGGTTCCTGGTGCTCATTATGAACCCAGATTTGCCCTTCTCTCTCTCAGATAAAGCTCTCACTCTCCTATGCATCTTTCTCGCTAAATAAAAGCCTAAAATGTACCATGCTGCCTTGTTTATTTATGCTGGTAGTTAGAATTCTTCTCTAAATATTACGCAAGAACCCTCTTGGGATATTAATATTGGGGATTTACTAATAAGCATATGGTGATCATATGACACCCCAAGTTCTGCTAACATGTGGCACCTCAGACGGCACTTCTGGGGAACTTTAAGGAGGCCACATTTTTATATAGATTTTAGGGGGTCATTTCCAATATCAGTTTGAGGGACTGCTACAGACTCCCCTCTGCTTGTTATCAAAAGGCCATCTGGGTCCAAGCAAGCCTGCACTGGTTCCCCAATCATCATAGTCAGTCATATACATAAAGCCAGCCTCATACCTAAGATAAGATAGTTGCGTGCCTCATAAAATTGCCTTTAAGTTATAATTTACTGGGTCCTATATGTAAAACTATCTTACCTTGCAGTTGTGATCTGTTAATCCCTGAGGGCCTAAGATAAAAGTGTATTCTCTGAAATTGCCCTGTTACTGCCTTGCTAAGTTTAGGGTCAAAAGTAGGGACAGAGGATCAGGGCTTGAGACAGAGTCTAGTCAAGCCCGCATGCGTAAATAAACTATATGCCTTTCCCTCCCGTTTGTTTTCTTTAGTCATTGTCTGTAACAGTTTATCTGAAGGACATGTACAGAAGGGACTGTGTCTGCTGAGCTGTATGTATGAAAGGGTGAGACTTCCTTTGTCTTTTCCATCTCTGAACAGATTGCCTTTGACATGCATCACAGTCTGCCTTAATGCTTGTGAATAATGAAACTGTTATCTTTCTCTTCTACCTTTGTGGAGAGGATTACTTGCTTTGGGAGAAGATTTGGGTTTTTGCTCAGCAGCATCGAAAGATCTAACAAAATTCTGGCTGTATCCTGAGCATATGCTGACTCTACCTGCCTATGAGATAACCCAGCCCTGAATCTTCATCATTAGCTTGCCAAAAACAAAACCAAACACAACACAAATGCACTTACTTGCCTTCTCAGCCAACACTGAGAAGAGGCACTCACAGCTGATCAAACCATAGGTATGAACTATCAATGACCTCCCCGTCCAAAACTCATCCATGCAGTCTGGTCTTTAAAAAATAGTCCAGCCTTTCTTGGGGAGGTGATTCCAGTATTTATTTTTTTCCTTCTTCCCTTTGACAAACATGATGTGTGGCTGGGAAAGAGCCATTTTCATAAATGTTTCATTCTGCCTCCTCCAGGCACAGCACGCTGGAGCATGAATTATGACCAGCTTGGGAGCACAGCCTTTCCCATTTGTGGTCACTGTAGCGCCTCCAGTGGAACAGCCTGAGTGAAAAGAGCTCGGTGTCAGAAAACCCCAGCCACTCCCGCATCTGTGACCAACCCCTGGGCAGCGAGGATGCCAGGCAATTTACGTGTTGTTTTCTCAAAACCAAGATGAATGGGGTTTGCTTTGCTCCCTGTGTGGAGGTAGCCGAAGCAGAGAAAAATCCTCCTGCAACCAACTTCTCCCACTCTTGCACCTCCTCTTTCAAGCTCTATTTCTCTTGGATCATATTTGAGCAATAAATTAGTGCATCCTTTTTTTAAAATAGAGAACGACTTCACTGGCTGTCAAAAGATAATATTCATAATTGTTGCTGCTCAGGAGAATCTGTTGGAGGAGACGCCCGACAACAGCAACAACCACAGCACTGCAGGGGCCAAGGAAGGGAAGAGAACAAGGAGCAGCTCCCTACGCTTGCTCCTGACAGCCTCACGCAGCTCACCTGGAATCCCTCTCCCTTATACATCTCTGCTTTGGAACATAAAACCAGCCTCGGCAGCCAGTTAAGTTATTGAAAGGTCTTCCCAAAAATGCCTCCATAATACTGAGAAACGTTGAGGCATCAAAGTAGAGAATCAAGTCTCTTTCAAAGGAAACCTTCATATAAGATAAAGCAAAATGCCTCCAGCCTGGGTGGGTTTTTGGCACAGCAGTGAAAACCCTGGGAGGCCCATGCAACTCCAGGTTCCTGCCAATGCATGCTTTGGAAAGCAGTTGTACTGGCCCAAGTTCTTGAGCCCCTGCCTTGAATGTGGGAGACCCAGATTGGGTTCCAGACTCCTGGCTTCTGCCTGGCACAGCCCCTGCTGTTGCAAGCTTTTGAGGAGTAAACTCATGTATGGAAGATCATGCTTGCTCTATTTCTCTGTGTCCTTCAAATAAATTTTAAAAATAAACTTTTGTAAGTGCTTCAACTCTGAAAGCATTATACTTTGGAGGATCCTGCTTCACTTCCCTGAGCCATTAGCTCAGGGAATAGTCCCTTTACCTACCCAGGCACCCAACTCAAGACTCTCGTCCTCTTTCTCTCATCTCTCAACCCCATTACCATCATAGTCAAGTTCAACCTCATTGTCAATGTCTTGATTTTAATCATTGTTTTTCTACAATGGTACTTCCATCATGGTTCTCAAAGTAGGACTCCCAGATCAGGAATGGGCTTTACCGAGGAACTTTTCAGACAAGCATAATTTGAGGCCACATCCTAGATCTACTATATCAGAAACCATGAGGAAGAGCCCTATAATCTGTTTTAAAGATTCTCTGGGAGATTCTGACACCCACTAGCCTGAGAACTACTACTTTATTACAATAGTATCTTAACATTTCCTTGCCTCCTGTTTTGCCTTCTTCCCTCTTACTGCATCCTCTCTAAAAGAGCTTCCTAAATATACATATTGCTTATCTGCATTCCCCACTGGAAACCTGTCTGTGGTCACCTCCTGCCCTGTAGATGAGACCAGGACTTAGAACAGCATGCAAGGCCAACCTCAATGAACACCTTTTCGCCCCTTCTGTTATTGCCCCCACCTGCCCAAGGGCTGTGATCTAGACAGACCAGAGAGCCATGCTGAATGTGCCTGTTGAAGGGCATGCTATCACCCTGGCTGGGGAAGTCATGGAGAGGATAGGGGAGCATTCACAGAGGTAGAATGTCTTGTTGTGGTCTTGAAATAAAGGAGATGGAGGCCACTACTGGTAAGTCTTGGCAGGCACAGAAGTCATTGAGCCACTGCAGTGCACATAGTACTATTATTCCAATAGGACTCAGTTCTAGAATTTAACACTTGGGTTCTAGAATCTAGCACTTGAGTTCTAGATGCTCTTTCAACAGTAGAATCTCATGTCAACAGATTCTCCACTTTGTGAAACAGGCGGACTTAGCACCAATGGCTCTATTCCATCTATGGCTTTCAGCCACAAACTTTATTAGTGATACCTACATGACTGTATTAAAGTAAAGTGTATTTTAGAAGATCTTTTAGGTGACTAGGAACCACTGCTTATGAAACTGATTTTATGATTATGTTTTAGGAAACTTAGTAAAGGATAATCATGGCTGTAAAACAGAAGATAAACATCTTTAATAATTTGTCAGCATGAGGAAGTGCTGGTTGGATGATCTTGGGGTAAGTAAGTAAACACTCTGTGCCCCAGTTTTATTCTTTGTTAAATAGCAATACTAATAGTACCTACATTAGAGAATCAGAGAATAGAAAATGAGATTTTGAATGAAGAGTATTTAACATAAATTGGAAATAGAACTCCAAAATGTAATCATTATTATTACTGTATTAAGATTCTTGATATCCTAAGAGCCTGTCAATGACATCCAGTATGTATTTGGGACAGAGCATGTTCTGGAAATCGTGAGAACCTAAAAAGATTCAAACTGCTCATATCAATTAAGTCTTTGCACTTACCCACTCCTAGTCATTACAAATAGGAGATCCACTCAAAACCTCCTTGTTAAAGTGCCCAAGTCCTATCAAATTTGTTTCAAGAATTTGAGACAAGTTTTCCCAAGCTTTGATGACTTACCTAAGAATCCCATGTACTGAAATGGAGACAAGGGTGGGAATCCTACCTGGCAAGATCCAGCTCACGAAATGAAATTTCATATGTAGAGTTCTCTCAATTGCCTGGTTTCCTTTCTACCAATAACATTATCACTAAGAAGTTTTTGATGATGATTCCCACACCTTGTGGACTGGGTTGTCACTAGCAGGCAAGACTGGAGGTGCTTCCACAAGAAAAATATTCTCCCCACTTCTACGTTCTGTGTTCAAGTTTCTTCCTCTAATGTTTGACAGATTCCTAGTTTGATAAGGCATTTATAAGCCCAATTAAAATTGAAGAAAAATGTTCCTACACTGTTCCAACTGCATATCTTTGTAATAAAATCCTAGTAGCAAATAGTTGTGGTGGGAATTCTTAGTTTCTCCCAAGCATTCCGAGTTTATTCCATTCATTTTAGAATGTATGTTTCACTTTGGAGTCTATGGTTATGTAACTGAGAGATCTGGGTAATGGAAAGTGAATTGAGGCCACTAATTCATAGAAATGAGGGTTTCAAGGAGGAAGCTTGTGATTGCTTTTAGAGTTATAGGAGCTATAAATGAAAGCAATGGCCTAGAGGCAAATATGCTCCCATCATCTCAGTAACTAGGGGTCTTCCATGATTAGCAAATATTTAGTGTGAATTACCATTTAACCCTAATTGGATCAAATAATACATTTGTCTACTCAGTAGGACTTGGATTGACACAAACAAAAATTTTATTTAGTTATGTCTAGAGGGGCCTGGATTTCAATTAAGGGATTTCTAACATGCTCATACACCTTCCTTATGTGTATGGTAACAACATGTATGGAATGGTCTGTTCTAGATACCATGTGAGGCACTTTGATGGAACCTATCTTTTCATCTTTACAATAAACCTACAAGGAGACACCTACCAACATTAGCACTTTATAAATGAGTAAAATGATATCTGAAGAGTTTTAATTTGCCCAGTGTCCAGGTTGGCTGTAGTAGTGAGACCTGGACAGCCTGATGCTTGCAGTTCAAGTTGAACCACAGACTTTGGGCTGCCATGTGGTCTCTGGGAAGTTCCTGGGATATCACAGTTCCTTTAGCTGAACACCTTTCTCTTTTTTAGTGGCTAAGAAAGTCAGAGGCAAAATTCCAGTCCTTTTTGGGCAATAGCATTAGTGCAGTGGAAAATGGCTCAGCTCATAGTAGTCAGCTACAGGCCTGTGTCTCAGCACCCCTCATTAACTGCCATGTGGATGTGGACCAGTGACCTCACCTCTTGGACCCCCCATTTCCTAATTTATAAAACAGTAAAATAAAACCTATTTAGAGTTATCATAAGGATGAAATGAGATGAATCGGCATGTGTTGTCAGAAGACTGGTTGTGATGTATTTGAAGAAAATATATCAGCTTTATATAATAAGTTACTCCCTAGAATGCTTTTTCTGGTGTTGTACATGTTTGCACGCACACACAATGGGTTGCCATGCAAAATGCGTTTGTTACTGTGAATTAAGGCCAACGTTTGTAAGCCACTTCACTCATCCCTCCTCCCTCCCAATCCTCACCTCTGAGACCTCTGGAGTTCCTTTCCACCATTTTTTAATCCATTCACAAAATAAGTGAGTGGCCTTTTCCTCAGATGGGCACTTCCTGACAGGGCCATTAGGAAATGCTATAGGCTGAATATCTCCCCAAAACTCCTATGTTTGAAATCCTAAGCCCTGGTGTGATAGTGTTAGGAGGTAGGGCTTCAGGGAGGTAATTAGGTCAGGCTGAAGCAGGGTGAATAGGCAGGCAACTAGGTGGTTCTGCTGAGCTGGAAGTCTGGAAGGCCTAGATGCTACTCTGTCCTCCTACCATCAGTCAAAATATGCCTTTCCCAAGATGCACCTGCTTCATCCCTAACCTAAGGGGTGACACTGAAATATGGAGATTAAGCTCCAACTGGAACCTGCGGAGGTATCACAGAATTCCCAGGTGGCTTCATGTCTGTAGAGGCACTGTCCCCTACTCCTGCCTTATAAAAGAAGTCAACATCGGGGGTGACAGTCTCTCACACCAAGATTGGAGGTGCTGTACAGGTGCCATCTCTCTCCTCTCTCCCACACCTCCTTCCTTTAGGCAATCCTGTGGCTCACTGCTCATTCACATGGGTATACATGGTCATGTGTCGCTCCCCCTCTTCGTGGAGGAACGACACAGGACCCTGCGCTGTTCTCTCATCTGCTCGGCCCTCCCCGGGTTTGCTGCTGGTTCTTCCCGGGTTGGCTACTATCCCTTCCACCTCCGTGGAAGGGCGGTTCCCCCTGGCCGCATTCCCCACTTCCGCAGGGGAGCGGCACACCGCCGGCCGGTTCTCTCGGGGGCTGCACGGGTTCCCTTAGATGTTCCCCATAGATGTTCCTGGTGCATGCCGTCTCTCTCCTCCTTTATAGTCCTCCTCCGCCAATCCCAACTCGGCTGCCCACACGCCGAGTACGCTGCTCTCCAATCAGGAGCAAGTCCTACAGTTTATTAGTTGAACTGGAGGCAGCTGTGCGGAAGCTGTTTACTTCTCTCCCAGCGCCATATTGTGGGAGAGCAGATGCATAGAATAAGTCTTAATTCGAGTAACTTAGTCTAGTCCGGATTGCTCCCCACAGTCATGCATGTATGTGTGTTCATTTTTTAATACATTTTGTCACTTTTTGCATCTTATGCATATCTGCACTTAGAATGCTTGTCTTTGTGCAAGGCAAGGACCTGAAGTAAAAAGTAAACCACCCTAACTCACATCAATGCAGACAGAGCCCTCAATGAGTTAAATTATTGCCATTATAAAGGGAACCGCAGAGAAGTCTCGTGCCTCTCCACTCACCGTGAGGACGCAGTGAGAGCCAGCTCTCTCTCAACCAGAAAGCGGGTCCTCACCACACAACAAATCCATGACTTAGCAGCCCCCAGAACTATGAGAAATAAATGTCTGCGGTTTATAAGGTGCCTGCAGTCTATGCTCATTCATTACAGCAGCCCAAACTCCAGCAAGAACACATTGATCATAAGAAAAAGTCTCCTTTACTTTCAGGCCTTTCCTGATTTTAGAAAAAGAAATGAAGTTTTTTCCACTTCCAACTGTCCTAAGCTAAAGTGGCAAGAACTGAAATGGGGCCCTGTGGGCCTCTCTAGATGTAGAAAAAATCTCAGCTCAATGCTGTGACCAAGTGGCTTGCAAACAACTCAAAGTACCAAAAAATATATATTTAATGAGCATGCCTGCTTCCTTCTTTGCTGTCTTGAGTTTGTAATCCTACTTCAATCCCCTCTTGCTCCTTTACCTCCTCAAACCTTTCCATCCCTCCTTTTAAAACTCAAACAATTTGGGCCCAGCACTGTGGCTCACTTGGCTAATCCTCTGCCTGTGGCACTGACATCCCATATGGGTACAGGGTTCTAGTCCCGGCTGTCCCTCTTCCAGTCCAGCTCTCTGCTGTGGCCCGGGCAGGCCATAGAGGATGGCCCAAGTGCTTGGGCCCTGCACCCGCATGGGAGACCAGGAGGAAGCACCTGGCTCCTGGCTTCAGATCGGCGCAGCACACCGGCTGTAGCAGCCATTTGGGGGGTAAACCAACAGAAGGAAGACCTTTGTCTCTCTCTCTCTCTCTCTCTCTCTCTCTCTCTCTCTCTCACTCTCTGTAACTCTACCTGTCAAATAAATAAATAAAATCTTTAAAAAAAAAGATTTCTTAAAAAAAAAACTCAAACAATTTAATGGGATTTAATGGGATACCAAAATGCTAATTTGTAGTTCTTTAGCACATATTTTAAATCAACATATTTAGTCAATTTAAATTAACACAACTCTTCAGTAATTAAATGATTATCAAGAGTAGTTTCATAGCAATTGCTTCTATGTCAAGTCTACCATTAATCCATCATCAGAGATATTAAATCGGCAATGAATTTCCCAAATTTAAACTTCTCTATAGTGCTATACGGGGCTGCCCTTTGCTTTGCCAGTCATGCAGGCAGATACTAAAACCTCACACAGAAGGTAGCATCATGGAGGCAAATGGCTCTATTAACAATCTAAAACATTGACACAGTCGCTCTGAGCCAACAGCACTGTTATGTGCACAAAGCAAGATGAATGGGATAACATATGAGGCCAAGCAGAAGCCCTTTCAGTACAGGATGATAAAGACACTTGATTTACAGCACATGCAAGAGACAATTGTCATTCTGTGATGTAGTAACTTTTCTTCGCTGCAGACTACAAGGGAATGTTTCAATCATGAGAGCTGGGGTGTTTCACTTTTACTATAATAATTATTATTGACAGTTTCATTTGGGGTGAGAAATGGTCTTCCTGAAAAACACTGGGGGATTGCAGCAGAAGCCAGGGTAGGGGAGCAGATGTGCATTATAAAGCAATATGTGGCATAATGAGAAAAGCATTCTTCCCTATCCTATTAATTGTTGGCACTACCTAATAATCAAGAATTGCTGACCCCCTCCCACCCTCAGCCAGCAGTTGTGTGTCAAAATGCACCACAGCTCAAACACAAGCTCAAACCTATATAATGTCGAAAGCCAGCATTCCACTAACATT